CGTTAATATATAAACAGACATCCTGTTTTGGCAAGCATTCCAACACCTTATACTTTGTTTCGAATCTTTGAGAAAAAAAAATACTGCTTCAGAAGATATAATCGGATGAATATCGGTAGAATATAAGATATAATAGAAAGAAGATCTGTATGTTGCCTTTCAGGTACTGTAAAAATGGCAACCACTGAATCTCATATCAATAAGCACCATGAATGTTTTTTCTGTGTTTTAGGTGTTCAACACAAGACCACAATTCAGTATGCTACACGACCTGATCTACCAAAGCTGGCCTATAGGAAACTGAAAGGGAAGAGTCCTGGAGTGGTTTTCTTGCCTGGGTTTGCCTCTGTCATGGGTGGACAGAAGGCAGAAGCATTAGAGGAGCTCTGCAAGTCTTTAGGTCACTCATACCTCACGTAATAAATAATAACATCCAGAGACAGACATCAGTCATTTGTAACAGTACATTTAAACATAATTAGTACAATTTATTTATTGCCAACTATGGAGAACAAGTCATTCTGAGGAAACATGCTTAGTTTCATACATTTATAACGCTCAGGGGTCAACAAAAAAACTTAAAACTATCAGACATTTCAGCTGACAGATGAAGGCTGTAATATTATAGTTGTCATGGGATATGTAATCCTTTAAGTCTGATCATTTACGGCTCAGCTCAATTAGCTAGAATGACAAACTAATACATAGAATAAGTTAATATGTACAGTACTGGTAATATAGTTTTATATAATTATTTCACAAATGCTTATAGATAATTAAAATCAGTTTTAAAAATCCTTCTAGATCATAAAAAGTTTTGGTAACACTTTACAATAAGGTCTCATTTGTTAATATTACTTAATGCATTAACTAATATGAACTAACAATGAACAATATATTTTTTACAGCATTTATTTATCTCTTTTAAAGTTAGTTAATAAAAATGTTCATGTACATGTTAATTCATAGTACATTAACTAATGTTAACAGATACAACTTTAAATTTCAATAATGTCTTAGTAAGTTTTGAACTTAATATTAACTAACATTAATAAATGCTATATAATCATTGTTCATGTTAACTAATTTAGTTACCAAAGTTTTATATATAATGAACAATATATTTTTACAGCATTTATTAATCTTTGTAGATGTTAGTTAATAAAAATGTTCATTAATTCACAGTACATTAACTAATTTTAACAGATGCAACTTTACATTTTAATAATAAAATTAACAACAACTGAAACCTTATTGTAAAGTGTTACCACAGTTTTGTATATTGTTCTCTCTCTCTTTGTGTGTGTGTGTCTGTGTTTCACACTCTTGATGTTATAGTGTAACCCTTTCATTGCTGTAACCATTAAAGCCAGACTGCCAGAGGGTTACTGTAAATGCATGTGCCGCTGTGCACTGTTTTCTTGATGCCATCGGGGTGGTGGTTGCGCGGGTGGCTTGGGCCTGTCATTGCTGCTTGTAGTTATAGACACGTGGCCTCTCGATGAGAGCTTCTTGGGAATCGCGTGGCTCGCAGCGCGTCACACAAACTCGAAGCGAGGTTTAAACTTGATATTTTCCCACATTCTAAAAGCACGATTTAGCTACATTTGATACGGTATTTATAATAAATAAAGACAATACGCTATGTTAACCTAAATAGACATACATGTACCGATTAATCCTCTCGTGGTAGTGACTCGCTGTAGCTTCTCCCTTCAAGCAGTTTCTTCGAAAAAAAATGTTTGTTTTTGTACAAGACTCAAAATCACATAAAGTCAAGCAAAATTCTGCATTTTAATTAAACACCAGTTGCAGTCCCCTTAGTTATTTAGGTGTAAAATGCTTTAAATATGTTGAGATTTGACCCCACCCACCACCCCCCTATTTTGGAAATCTGGCGGTTTTTATGGATACGTTTTGTGCAGATGAACAGGTTTTTAACAGAAGTTTTAATATTGTGACTGTTGTTTATCCATTCGCATGCCTCTCAGAAGACGTGCCATTTAGTGCTTTTGGCAATATTCTGGCTGTCGTTGTTTTTTCTACAAACTATGCAATGATATCTTCGAAATACAGCGGGTATAAATCATAATTACGTGTCAATGTAATGTACCCAGAAAGGACATTTAGCTTGTGTGAGAGCAGCTTTGTTTACCAGCAACTGATCTCGCTTTTACCCAAGTTTGCGCGCACAGAAACAGTTATATTTTATATTTTAATTTTAATTTTTATGTCACTTTGTAATGAGCAGTAGCTACTAGCTAGTAAAACTGTTGACGGGCCACATATAAACATTAGACCTAAAATTATAACATAATACCAATCCAATTACTTACCCTTTGACTTGGAAGAATTCATACCACATTTTTTAAAATTCTGGTGGAAAACATACATAACCATCCACTGTTGGGAACGGGAAATGCATCCAGTTGGAACAGAAGCATATGAAACATATGAACATAGCCATTTATTAGAGTGTACAGTGTTTTCTGTTTCCACCTTGAACTCTATTGCAGTTGTGATAAATGTGCTTCCTTTAGGTTTGACTATTCTGGCTGTGGTTCATCTGAAGGGGAAATGGGTAACTACAACATTGGTGCCTGGAAGAAAGATGTGCTCTATGTACTGGATGAACTAGTAGAAGGGCCACAGGTGAGTGGATTAACAGCGTGACGACACTGGATGGTCTGGACAAATCGAATTTTATTTTAATTTGAAAGATTGCATTTTACCAGCACAAATATTCATTCAATTATTTGAATACAAATGAATTGAATTATGCACATAACCAAAGTAAAATCAACTCTAGTCCAGAATTCTTTTGGCATGAGATGATGTCTACAGGAAGCAATAGTAATCGGGGAATCGTCTAAACTTTATATCTGATAGAGAAGACAGCTGCTTTAGTGGGCATCTCCACAGCTGCAGATCACTTCGTCACAGCCTTCAACTCCCTACCGACAGAGGTGTGAAAAACTTCAATGTCATCTTTTAAACTTCAATATTGGTAAAATAATAATAATAAAACCTGTAAATTGTTACAAATTGTGTATTTTTGTAAATGTAACTAATGGTGCTTTACAGGCAAGTATCACTATTAGAGATTTACGCTTACTTTTATTCCTTTATTTATTCCGCAGCTCCACAAAAATGATCCGTACCAGGGGTTGTAGGGCACTATTCTCTGTAAACCCGCTTTGGAACAGTATTTATAGTGAAAGGTGCTATACAGGTACATTTGAAATTGAATTGAAAATGGTCGTTTTCAGCTTTATACAAAGTTAATTTTTCAATCTGAAAATGGAATCCTTTATTAGCTTGAATATTCTATACTTCTGTGCGCTGTCTAGAGGGTCACACACTTTTGCCACACAGATTTTGATAGCTGGACAGCTAAAGAAAATGTCTTGTAACGTCTGAGAAGTGACGTAATGTAGTATATCGGCTGTCGGTGTGACCTCAAGAGGTCATTGTGGGAACAAATGCAAGGTGCATTAATACTATAGCAATACACATCTAATGCTCTGGCAAGCATAGATTGCTGATCCTGTGCCTATACAGAAGTAAGCCCTTTCTAGACCCTGCCCTAACTAGTACCGCTTGCGTCAAGGCATTTCATTGGTAACTGATGATATGTAGTATGTGCAGTAAATACTTTAAGAGTCCAGATATAACTATTCTGTTGCAAATAATTGAGGAAGAACGGATGGCGGCACGGGTTGATCTTTCATTGGCCAATCAGTGGGAAAGGCGTTTCATGTTGTCACACATGTGAAAATCGTGCATTCAAGCTATTTATCCATTTCCTACCAATGAACCTACAAATGCGGAGCTCAACTCGCTGCAACTTCAGAAAACACATGCAAATAGAAAAAGCACCAGCAAATTCAGAACACATCTTCATCAGTTTAACAACACATGCGCTGCAAAGACTCACAACGCGACCAAATACAGAAAAGCGTTACAAGTAGCACTGACCACAATGGAAATGTTTCAAGGAGACATTACGAAAATGAACCATGATTTTATTATAGTAAAAGTGTAGTAATGATGATTTTGGCGTTTACCATTTTACCATTACCATACACATACCATGGTTAAACAATGGTTAGTGTAATTTGTGATTATCATGGTTTAATTTTGGCTAATAATAATAACTGATGAAGTCAAGTTTGTCAAACTGATGAAGATGTTTTCTTACTTTGCTGGTGTTTTTTTCTATTTGCAGCGAGTTGAGCTTTCTGGGCCACCGTATAAAGATGAAAACTCAAACTAAATTATTTTGAAGAAACAAATAAAAGCGCTCTTTTCTCATTTCTGCTTCAAATGTAAAAATTTAATGACTATGCAAATGTGCACAGAATCTAACATTACTTGTGAGCAGGAAAAACTTAATACAAAGTAAATATTTATGTATAAATGATATTTGGCACACTGACAATAAAAACCAGTTATATCAATTTTGAAACCGCTTTTTATTATGCACCTCTGTTAGATCATGCGTCCATGCCAGAAATATCAGATCCAGACCCGGATGCCAGATCCAGTCAGAAAATATCCGTTTTGTCTGGTAACACAACAACTAGTCAGCAAAGTTGTCTAAGACCCAAAACCTGTTTGCAGCAAGTCTTTTCTGGCACCCAAACCTGTATTAACAGTCTTCTATCAGCCAAGAAGTTAAATGAGTAAAGCCAGAGAAGAGTAGAAGCAGGAGACGAAGTGATGATGATAAAAAAAAAGGAGCAGAGTTTATTGAATAATCTTAGTTGCTTATGTTCCAATGCTCAGAATTCATCTGACCAGCACAAGTGTTATTATACCACAAGCTAGAGCAATGGAAAATGACTGCTTCACAACATCGTCCTGTGACGTTAAAACCTTGAAATGGAGACATTCTCTTATCTCATGAACACAAATATCCCTTATAACCACTCAATCATAAGACTAAACAACAATGGAAAAATAATATAAAATATGATAATACAATATAAATGACTAATCAATGAATGAATCAATGAAATGAGAATATAAATGGTTTAAGTGATGCTTATAAATGATTTTATGATTAAATGATTATAAGTGAATTAATAAATGAATATAAAAGAAAGAAAAACACAACACAAATGTACGGTTGCTCTCTTGAAGCAGCATATACACACACACAGGGTGCTATTAAGAATCCTTCACCTCGCGAGGGGATCGAAAATTGCAAACACCTGATCTATACCGTTACCGTGTTCAAATAATTCTGGCATCTCATATAAATATATAGTTCAGTCATGAAACTCTTCCGAGCAGCTGATTGGTTTACTTAAAGCCAAATGCTCATCCAATCATTTGTTCGTTCCTATCTACATAACCTATTTATTCCTGACTTGTATCGAATCAGTTCATTGCAGCGCGTCATGGGATTTCACTAACCCTCCATCTTCCCCAGCACCACCTGCCTAGGTCTGCTCGGGGGTTCTCCCTATTTTCCTTGCAGCAGTCTGAATTCAAGTCACCATTTCACGTGCATTTCAGATGTATCCATTCTCCAGCAGCAACGTAGCAGATCTAGTCCGCCGATACCAAGCCTATGCACATTGCATGCTTACTAATAAATGCTAGTAAAATTCATTTTCCGAGAGTTGTCATGATTGAACTCCATATATCCGTAACTTCTTCCCCTTTCATTAGACAAAGAGGGAGATAGAGGAACAGGGCTTTTGGAAATTCCCTACCAAGCACAATGGAGAGGGTTTCTACACTCTGAGCATGGACTTTCTGAAGGAGGCGGAGAACCACTGCATACTCCAGAGCCCCATCCCTGTCTCCTGCCCCGTTCCTCTGATTCACGGCCTCAAGGACCCTGATGTTCCCTGGCACGTCTCCATGCAGGTCACAGAGCGGGTGCTCAGCAATGACGTGGATGTCATCCTGCGCAAGCATGGGCAACATCGCATGTCAGAGAAAGATGACATTAAGCTCATGGTGTACACCATTGATGACCTTATCGATAAACTGACCACATTAGGGTGAGAATGGGGCATGGGGAAATCAGGTTTCACCCAAAAATTCTAATTTCTTTCCAGAGCCATATATCTTACTTTCTTCCATGGAAGCCCAAACAGTGACCAGGTGCTGCCATGCTCAAAAAAGTCTGTTTGAGTCATGTGCTATATTCCTTCTGTAGTGACCTGAAACTGTATGATAGCTTTGCAGAAGAGACAGGCCAACATTTAAAGGAAAATTTCACAAATAAAAAATTTAAATATCCTCACCCTCAAGCCATCTAAGTTTGTTTCTGCGTCTGGACAATTTTTGAGAAATGTAGCATTGCATCAGTGTCTCATCAACGGATGCTCTGCAGTGAATGGGTGCCGTCAGAATGAGAGTCCAAACAGCTGATAAAAACATCACAATAATCCACACCACTCCAGTCCATCAGATAACATCATTTGAATCACTTTGAGTTCCATATTCTGTGCACAAATGATGAAAAATGTACAGGTAGAAGACTTTTGTGCTACTTACTACAAGATATCAGGCTGGATTGGTGAACCACACAGTATTGTTATATAAAGCCATTTATTTGGAATGGGTGTGTCATGCTAGGAAGGGTTTGATTTAGCTGGTAGTCCACTGCTGTGCTTTTTTCTTTTCTTGCAGCCACAGGACAATAATAGAGATGTCAGTGTCTACCTTTCAAGATCCTATTTTTACTTCATTTTGTTCTCTTTTGTATATATATAAGACTATATATTTTTATCTCTGAGTGTTTTTTCTTTTTTGCCACTTGTAATTTATTGTGTTCTTTTTACTTTTCATTATCAGGCTGGATTGGTGAACCACACAGTATTGTTATATAAAGCCATTTATTTGGAATGGGTGTGTCATGCTAGGAAGGGTTTGATTTAGCTGGTAGTCCACTGCTGTGCTTTTTTCTTTTCTTGCAGCCACAGGACAATAATAGAGATGTCAGTGTCTACCTTTCAAGATCCTATTTTTACTTCATTTTGTTCTCTTGTGTATATATATAACACTATATATTTTTATCTCTGAGCGTTTTTTCTTTTTGCCACTTGTAATTTATGTGGTGATTCTTCTAGTTACAAAAATTGTGTTCTTTTTACTTTTCATTTTTGGAGCAAAAATGTTCCCAGAGTTTGATTACGACGCGTATCATCACCTCTTTGACAGCATTAAATGCTTTTTTTTGTATTTATCTCATTCATTTGTAAGCCCAATTTCTGTTACCTCATATTAACCATTTCAAAATGTTTTTTTTTCTGAATCTAAAAATGTTCTGTTTTGAGTTTGCAGCTGCACAGTGTTTACTTTGAATGCTTCTATAAGCATAAGGCAGATAAGAAAAAAGCAACCTGCTAACAAAGTTTCTTGGGAGTACTTTATCTACCAGTTAAAAGTTTGGAATAATTAGGATTTTTAATGTTTTTTTAAAGTCTCTTCTGCTCACCAAGCCTGAATTTATTTGATGAAAAATAGAATCATATTGTGAAATATTATTATAATTTAAAATAACTGTTTTCTATTTGAATAGATGTTGAAATTTAATTTATTTCTGTGATCAAAGCTGTATTTTCAGCATCATTGCTCCAGTCTTCAGTGTCACATGATCTTCAGAAATCAATCTAAATCTAGCCCAAATTCCAGAAAAGTTGGGACGTTTTGTAAAATGCAACAAAATCAAGAATCTTCTCTTTCATTTTTATTTAATTGACAAAAGTACAAAGAGAAGATTTCCAACGTTTTCACTGACCAACTAAAATGCATTTTGTAAATATAAATACATTTTGATGTTGATGGCTGCAACACACTCCAAAAAAAGTTGGGACAGAGGCAAAATAAAAGTG